TCAACAAGGCCTTTGATTGGTAGGGACAAAGGCCCTTCGATTGGAATTCCAAAAGGTCCTTTGACTGGAACTTCAGAGTGTCCTTTGATGGGTGTACTTCAAAGGCATGTCAACAAAATGTCTTTCATTTGGAATCTAAACAAGGTGTCTTTCGATTGGCATCTTAACAATGTCTTTCGATTGGCATCTGAACAAAGGCGTCTTCGAGTGGCATTTTAACGTCACTTCGATTGGTCTAAACTGAAGGAAATCGAAGAGTACAAGAACTGAGTTAGATTAGGTTTAATTGGATATGAGAGTTTCCCAGATCAAGAAATCAATGCATAGTTTGACTTAATCTAAGAAGTTATGATGGGAAGGTTCTGAGCATTTCGAATTGCAATTCAGAATCATCAAGGAGAACAATGCTCTGATGAGGAAAGCTCTGAACAGTTTGAATCATAACTCAGAGCCATCGGAGATAAATGCTTGAGGGAGGAAGCCCTAATAAGGAAAGCTTTGAACAATGTTAATCATCAAAGAGGACAATGCTTATGGGCTGATCAAAGAAGCTCTGATAGGGGAAGTTCTGAGCATTTCGAATCAGGACTCAGAGTCATCAAAGAGAACATGCTTGGGAGGTTGGTCGAAGAATCCATGATGCTAAGTGTGTGTGAAATTCAAATCAAAATCATCACAAGAACAAGAGTTGATCGAAGAAGCTCTGGTGAGGAAATTCTGAGCAATTCGAATTCGTGCAAGGCGCTAAACATGACATGTCCAGGTTCATTCGAATTTTCAAAAAGAGGCATGGATATTTTAAAAAAGGAAATCTTTAAATTGGTCTGATTTTTGTCTTGAAGACTATGGATGGCCTTTAAGGACATGATTAAGGAAGTTTCTTTCCATGCTAAGACTCCCTCCTCATCTCTTATAAATATCTAGTATATCTGCAGGAGAAAGGTACACGCATACATACTGCACACGAAGAGACTACACACACGCGTTGCTCAAAAATCCCAAAAGCCTCCCAATCGTAACACTTTTTGCAGGTTCCCTCATCCAGGAGTCCACCCTAACTCCTAAGCAAACATCTCCACACCCAGAGCCACAGATCATACATCTTCGGCTGGTATGGGTTTGCAAAACCAAAATTGCACCTTCATGACATTTAAATACACATTGCACATATATTCTTGTTATTACTGATTATGTTGCATGTAAGCTAAAGCGCAAAGATGAGATCATGCCATTATTGGGGCACGATCTAAGTTTTTCCTTTGAATCTCAGGACAAAACAAACTCAGACCCAGACTTAGCAGATTCGAATTGAGGAAGGATTCGAATTGGGAGGGGATTTGAATCAGGGGGTAAAGTCCCCCCTGGATCTCTAACATTTGTTTCGTTTTACAGGAAATATCTTCTCGGAATCTTGTTCAGAGCTTCGAAGTAGCTCAGCTTCGAAATGGATCCAGGGTTCCCAGATCGAAGGATGACATATCCAGATTGAACACCCCCAAAGTGCAGCCCCTCATGCACCTTCGATCAAGCCTCTTCACTAGATCGAAAGACAGCCCAAGCCTCTTTCGATCCAGGCCTCCAGAATTACACTTTTCTTAATTTACTTCTTGTTCCTTCGATTTCATCTTCGTTTTGACTTTTTTATTTCTTTTTTTTAATCAACATAAAATCAATCGAAAAAACCACAAAAACATTAGGATAGTTTTTCTATTAAATTAGTTTTGTTAGTTAATCATTTAATTATCTTAACATTTTCTCAAAACTAAAATTAACATGATTTAGATCATTTTCCCAAAATAAAATAAAACAACAAAAATATTTTATTCTTAGGATTTTTAGACATTAGTTTCAAATTCGCGCACGTTTATTTTATTGTAATTGCCTAATGGTTTGTAATAGCTTAATTAGGACTTTTACACTTTACTGCTTTATTCCCCCAATTTTGGACATGTAAATAATCCCCCTCCCCGAAGCCTTGTAATAGTGTAGGATTTACAATTCCCGCACTTTAAAGTCATGTACATATATTAACTGCTTAGATGTATGCTAACTAGGATTGTATGACAAGATCTGAAAACAAACGGTAGAGCACCTAAATGTTTAAAGATAAAAAATTGAAACACAGCACACTATCACATGTACACCTCTAGGGTACTCCCACTTCGGTTGCCTTTCGGAAAATAAAGCAGTCATGTCCCTCGAGAATGGGGACGCTTTAGCAAAGACCCATAAAATTAAAAGATCATAGTCCCTCGATGACCCTTACAGTGTTGCCTTTCGGTAAATGATCTCGTCCCTTAAACAAAAGTTTCTAAAGCATCTCTGTGTGTTGCCTTTATGATTGTAAAACTTCTCTTCAAATGTCCCTCAACATCTAACGATAGGGATACCTACTCACTAATAGTAGGATATCACTATCTAAATGAGAGGAGGAAAAGAACGACCCTTTTCGAGTATAAAAGTAGATAGCTGTTAGAAGTTTTCTCAAAATACTTTTTGCACTTACGCAAATACTACTTTTCAAAAACCCTGTTTCAAAAAAATTTGCTTTGTTAACACTCTTGAGGACTGATACAAGAGTTAAACGCAAAGCAAATCGCTGCACTAAGGCATTTTCCAAACATTTTCAAACGCACAAAGCACAAAAGTATTTCAAAAATGAGCAAACCTCTAAGAGTCCATAGATAACTACGGATGGAAAGGGTGCTAACACCTTCCCTTTCCATAATCTACCCCCCTTACTCAGAAAACTATCAAAAAGGTCTTTTTATTATCTTTTCATCCTTTCCTTTGTTGGATAAAAGAAAATACGGTGGCGACTCTTGCTTACCTCACATTTGCGAATACAAAATGCAAACCAATATATAACAGTCAATTTTGCCATCGTATCACAGAACTGGCGACTCTGCTGGGGAAAAATAAAAAGTGGGGTTACCTTAGAGTTAGTTCATTATTTAAATTCTTTGTTGTGCTTTGTTTGCTTTACCCTTGGAGGGTTGTTTGGGTTGTTTCTATAGATCTTACACCCAGATATGGGGCACACTTTTAGGTAAGCAGCAATAGGTCGTGGAGACTGTACGATATAGACCGATATGGTTGAAGCGATGGTTGTGTTGGTGTGACACTTTGGTTGGTACCCGTTGAAACAACCTGCTGAAAATCATCAAACAATGAAGTCGCCATCGAACGTCTTTTATCCCACATGTAGGGAAAGGTAAACATCGAGAAAACCTGAGAAGGGAGAGATCACGATCTTGCGACCGAGAGATCGGGTAAGGGAGTCTGTTACGCGAGGGGAACGTATTAGCACCCCACACGCCCATAGTATTCTACGGTAGCCACTCTTGTTATCTATATTATGGGTGTGTTTAATCTATGCTTATTTTTTTATTATACTAAAGGGAGAATGCATGCAAAAGAAAGAGAAAAGAATGTAGGGAAAATAAAATTATGCTCGCTTAGGCCCTACCCCAATGCCTATGTATCCGTTTTGAGGAATCAGAGCTACCGTAGTTTGGCTCATATGTTTTTGTTTGTTTGTGTTTTTTATGGACGAAGTTAATTCCTCTTTCTGCCGCAGCTCGACCTTTGGAGACTTATGCGTTGGCACATAAGTAAATTAATCATGTCCTTACCTGAAAAGGGTTTTTGAGAAAGGTGCTTCAGCGTACAAAATGGTTTGAGTTGGTTTGCATTTTGTTGCATATGATGACTAGTTAACCTCAAGAGAGAGATATTAGTCGCTTTTCTACTTAGCCATGAAAGGAGTCTTTGAGAATTAAACCACACCTAGGCTTTAGATGAAGAACAATAAGATCGAGAAGAGACCCGCTTATCATTTCCCGTACTAAGCAAAGGCATGATTCTCATCAGTAGTTTTTAAAGTATTTGAATTTTGAAAGAAAAAGAAGTTTTAGTTTTAGTGTGAATGCAAACGGGGAAGAAAAGCTAAAGGGAAACTAGCCTATTCCTACACCTAATGCTATTATGCATTGTTAGACCTAAAGTTAGAATTTTGAGGGAATTCTACCTAATGTTTGCATGCTTGGATTGCAGTAAAGCCATGCTTCTCATGATTTCTAGAAAGCAATGAAGTGCGAGAATAAGGGATAAAATAAAGTCACAATGATACCGAACGGAGGAGGTGCGTTGCCTCTTTAAAGCCACGCAAGCGATAAGAAAACTCTACAGAAACTGCTTCGCGCGAGTGATCAAAGAATTAGCCTCCAAGCATTCCATATTGCGAAAGTTATATCAATATAATATCATAAAATCTTGGCTAAAAAAAGGACAACAAAAAAGATTATTAAACATGAAAATAATAGAAAATTCTAATGAAAATTCTAAAGAGCGGTTCTAAAGAATTCTAAAATGTCCTAATATTTTGTATCATTTTTATCATAATAAAAATATTAAAAAAAGAAAATTAAAAGAAATTTTTAAATCTAACAAAAGAAATAGAGGAATCTGGGAGGTGTAAAGTCAGGATGGGAGTGTTGATAATATGAGACACTAAGGCCCTGGGCGCTAGGCCCATAGTATTATTTGTGTGCAAATATAAATTCCACATGGGTCAAACAAGGGCTTCAGTCCAAACAACAACACTACACCCATTATCCAATTTATTCAGCTTCTACCTCTTCTTTTTCAAGAACGTAAACCCTACGACACACACATTCCTTCCTCTTCTTCCAAAATCATAACGCTGCTCAACCAATAATCCCTTCTTCTTCACTCAATACTGCCAATTACATGAAATTAACACCAAATTCAATCATGAGGAGCCATTAGCGACTCATCTTCGTCTCCATCGATCTCATTTAGATTCAATTTACATCGCTGCTCAAAGCTTCATATCAGTTCGAGTTCTCTGTTAACAGCCTCGCGGTTTCCATATCCAGACGTCATTTGCTCTGTTGATGCGGTGTTCTTGCATTATTACTGATGGCGAGATGATGATTGATGGTAGAAGCTCGATCTCGGTAGCTTGAAGATTTTTGATGGAGATTGAAGAAAATGTAGTAGAAAATAGTTGTGATTGTCGAGAAGTGAAGAATGTGTTATTGATGGTAAAGATGAAGATGTGGTTCGATTATCGAAGTTGTTTATTAATGATGAACGATGATGAAGTTTCAGATAGAAAAATCTTTGGGCAAGTTTCTTGTGTATCGTGAATTTGCAGAGATGAGGATATGAAGTTGTGTGTTGGTGTTGATTGAAGAATTATGAAGAAGGTGATGAAGAATGTGTAGGGGAATTTTTTAGAGAATAATTTTGAGGTGAGTTTTTTCTGTGTTCAATAAAATCGTGAATATTGGTATATGAATCTGAACAATGATCTCTGAATCCTGCTCTCTGAATCTAAATAAGTTAGTTGTAACTGAAATTCTATTATGGTTAATTGGAAAATTGGTTAGGCGGTTGTGGATTCTGTTAGTTTGGTTTTGACAGTTGGAAGTTGGTTTTTTGATTTTCTGTTACAGGTTATGGAGTGGTTTTGTGAGAAGTTCTGTTAGAAATTGGTTATATGTTTGTGAATTCTATTTTTGGTTAGCAGTTATAGAAGTTGGTTATTCTATTTGGTCTGTTACTAGTTCTGTTATGCTTCTGTTAGGAAATCTATTGGGAAGTTGTTAGTTTTGAAGTTCGTGTAATTTCTGTTAGCAGGTGGTTACGAGGTAGGTTAAGAGGTTAGAAACTCAGTTACAGGTTATAGGTTTTAGATGGTTTATAATTCTGGTATTTGTTAGAAAAATGGTTAAGAAAAGTTTGGGGAATTCTGTTAGGAAGCTGGTTGGCTGGATGTTGGAATTCTGTTTTATTATTTCTGCATTGACAGTTAAGGGGCTGTTTTGTAAGGTTGTTTACAGGCTTTATCAGTTTTTCTGTTTTGGAAATAATGAAATGAATTTGGCAGCTTTTATTTTTTTACTCAAGTACCACCGTTTTGGTTTCTTTTCTTTATTGTGTAGCCTGTTTTGGAGCAATTTGAAAGCATGGACAGTTCAAAGTTTAGTATATTGATGAGACAAGGATGCGACATGTTTCGAGTTTTGATCATGAAGAATGTAGACTTAATCGAGAGAACAAAAGTCAGAAACATGAAAACTATGGATTTTAGTATGGAAGAAACATGAAGTTATACATAATGTTTAGATTTTGTAGAATAATATCTCGTAATTCTTTTCTCTTAAAACCTTTTCTCAAATTGTATATTCCTTCTTTGAGTAACTCTTGTATGGAACTTGGACTTTAATGGAGAAGCTTCACCTATTTCTTTATTTTATTTCAAATTGAACTCCGATGACAGTTGATAGTGTGAGGAAATTAGGAGTATTGAATATCTTAAATTCAATATCAATTCTCTTAAGTGCTTAAAGTATTATCTTTTATATTTTCCATGGAATTTAACTTTGAATACTCCTTTAATCGTGTAAATATCAAGCATAGTCGTGATTCCCTTATTCGTGTAATGCCAAACACTCCATAGTTAGAATGAAAGAGACTTCCACAAGGTTTCATTAAAGATTATTTCAGCATACTCCCTTTGTGATGTATAGCAACATAAGCAGTCATGTTTGAGCTTGAAATAAAGACTTTCATAGTCAATGAAGAAACACCGATCCCGAGTGACGTGGTGTATTAGACCCGCCACTACCTTGTGCCACCAATAATAAAACCCTAATTCAAATGTATAACTTCCTTGTAAGTAAAGTCTTCATTCATAGCAACTTGATTCATTCCTATTCCTTCCTTTGCATAATGACTTGAAATCCGATTAATGCCATAACCACTTTGGAGTCTAATTCTTATACCAAACCCACTTTGGAGCATAATGAACATTCAATTGAATTCAGAAAACCCCACCATGATGAAATGTAAACCCTAACAACTCGCAACCCTAATTTGTCTGCTCACTGAAGTAACTCGGAAAGGTGGCTTTGTCTTTTGATGAAAATAAGTATCTTAATAAAATAGGAAATTCCCAATGACCATGAACATAAATTCTAATCCCTCAAACCCTGATTGATAAAGAACCATGTTGATCCAAGCCATGCACTAAAGAATCATGTTCTTCCCTAATGAATATAACCTCATAAGAAAACCTTTCGGCCACCACATGAATACGGAAATAAACCCTAACTCAGATAATGATTATAAGCACAAGAATATGATCTTGAAGGACCTCCACGTCTAAGCCCATGGCTTAGAAAAGAGATATCCAATTGAACGATGATGCACAAGAACTTCCAAACCTAAGTCCGAAGCCTTTTGGATGGATGTCTTGAGATCATGATTAGACGCACTGATAAACAAACCTCTTATGGAATTTCTCTTGGAGTTAACATATTTGAGAAAATGAACCCGGATTCATGCGAAGATGATAAATGCAAGGATATAACCTTCAATACTGGAGTTTACAGCCTTTGGGTGACTTGTGAGTGACTTGCATTTTAGACAACGTTGAAGCTATTTCATGTTGAATAGAAGACCGGAATATTCGTGCCACAACACGATATGAGATGGCCTTCCCCAATGTCTTGAGTCACGAAATAAATTGCTCCTGATTACAGCTTTCTTGGAGAGATTTACTGAATCTCGACGTAACTGCTCCGGGTTGAATGGATTCTGAATAGATTTCTCGATTTGATAGCCTCTGATTGATCGAGCTTGAAGAGATTTATCAACGTGATAGCCTCTGATTGACAGCTTGAAGAGATTAATTGACGTGATAACCTCTGATTGACAACTTTGAGGGAATGCCCCAGATTTGGCGGAGCTTGGAGAGATTGATTCTCGACTTGATTGCCCCAGATTGGCGGACTCTGCTAACTTCATCCTTGAAGGATACTCAGATTATGAAGCACCAAGATATTTTCTCTGGACAGAAACACTGGTTAACATGCCTCTGGATTAGTCATTTCTTTTGTGACAGCTGACTCTTGCTTCAACATGGTATTCAAGCCTCTCTTCTCTGACAAGATTGAGCTCTTTACCGATTGTTCATTGTGTAAACTTACTTGACGTTGATCAGTTGTTTTGTATGCAGAAGAATGTCTATTATGAGAATGACAATTCTAATGCAACACATATGTAAGTCTCGAAGTTTGAGAAAACTTTGAATGAAATAACGTCACAACTCTGTTGTGAATGAGTCACTAGATAGAGAGCATCATTTGTAAATTCTTTTTAGTAAAGATAATGCAAGCATATGATGCCAACATAGATATTTAAACATACCTCTTAGGAGTCAATTAAACGCTATCTCATCGTAGCACGCTTTCAAATTGACCCATGCTTCAGTTAGGACTTTTATGGGTTGTAACATGGCCTGGTTCACGGTTTTTTAGAAAAAAGAATTCAAGGCTCAAAATATTTGGTGCCCACCCATTCTCCATGATGTTCTCCATTCCTACGTTCAGTCGACCTGATACAAGCGTTCATCTCTCTAGAAGAGTTTGTGATGATTGAGGAACCACTGTGGTTTCTTAGACACGACGGTCACTAACTTCTGATTTTGGTGTCTGATCATATGACTTTGTTCTTTGATGAGGATTTTCATTGGTAATCCTTTTCTATCCTTTTAGGCTTTCTTTAATTTCTTTCTTTCTTTCCCTAATTTTTTCCTGGATAAATTCTTTTGAATTTCGATTTGAAAGTCCAGCGGAATGCCCCAACTTTTGCCTAAGCGACTTGTTTTCAAGTTTCGACTTAGCGGGGATTTTTGTTTCTTTCTTATTCGTATTTTACATTTTGAACAAGTCGTTGATCTTTACGTTGTCTTTGATTTGTCGGAAGTGATCATGACTGTCCGAGTCTTTAGTAAATGATGGATAGCCATTAGTATCGTCATTTGTTGACCTCCTGATGTGCGAGAGATACCCATTGGGATATAGTCAATAGACGCATGTTGTTGTTAGATGAGGATTAACCATTGTGGTTTTGACTTTTCTCAACCTTTTGATGGATAACCATTGTTGTATCCTTGGATGCACACTCTTGATGAGTTTTGAATGCTTGATCAAATTAGCTGAACACTACCCGCCCCAGGGTTAAAATGAGGGTTTTTTCTGAACAGAAAAGAAACTCCTACTTCGAAGGCTCAGAGGGGTTAACGAGGGTCTATCTCCCTTATATCTCTGGTGTTTAGGGATTTGAAACAAGGCTTGTACATCGTCAACAGGGTCTTACTCAAAAGCGTACCAACCAGAGATTTTTGCGTTTTAGGTTGTCGTCATCCTCCTTTGAATCTTTACCTAAGCATAAGACTAGGAAATTTGGCATCAATATGCAAGTAAAATATTTAAAGAGTGATAACGAATGGATGAGTAAAAATGAAATGAACACTTCAAGACAAGCATATTTATTGCATTAAGATTTTCGTTCAAAAATAGACAAGTTTCTATATGCAAACAATGTTTAAACAAACAAGAAAGAATGTAAATGAAAATGCACTAAAGAGAACCAATGGTTGCCATTATTGAGGAGATTTGACTCCGTATGGACTCGCTGATTCTGATGACTTTCTGTAGTCTTGATGCTCGAGTGGGCAATAGAATTCCCCCTTGATATGATGTGAGCATAGTAGTCTCCGGATTGAGCCTGTCTTGGACATTGTCTTTGGATGACATTCCTTCAATCGAATGGCCAGGTGCCCCAGTATAATATGCATAGAAGATCCTTTCAGGAGAACAAATGAATGACTTACCCAACGAATCGGTATAAACTGCATCACCAAGCATATCATGTCTTAAAGAAATAATAAACATCATCATTAGAGTTTCCATGACCTGGCTTATCTGAGTCTTTAATCAATTATCTTTCTGCTTGAAGAAGTTTCTGACTATGAGCCAAAGTTTGCATGTATACCACACAAAGTTATTCTGCATCTGATCCCTGAACATGTGCGGTGAGAAATCAAGTTGAACCTTTGACGAGAACCCCTGGTCTGAATAAGAACCCCCAATCTACGGGTACCTGTTATGAATGCATGAACATGCATGGGGTGCATGAATGAATGCCATGTCATGTTCTGTCATTTCTAAGGAATTCACGTGCTTTGATTTTGATTTTGCGCAGGTAAGGGATGGAAGAGTGATTCCTTGGAAATAATAGAACAGGCATGTTAAGCATGTGTTTAACCATGTTATGTATGCAAAGGCATGGGATCAAATGAGATCAAGGTTCCATCATTTCTGAATATGATTGCTCCACTGCTTCTGAACCATACGAGTATCATCAGGTCAAAGGTTTGTCATAGCTTCCGCTCATATAATAACCAAATACCATGTAGATCTCCCATTGTACGGGGTTAAGGTTTCTGGAACAACGGATATTGCTGAGCATTTTCTGAATATGTTGGGAATGCCAAGATCAAAGGTTGGGATGAACTTCCAAGTAAGCAAGTCAGGAATTTCAGAAAATAAATCTGAGAACCATATAGTCGCCAACAGAATACCATATGCATAAGTCACTGACATAAACCCAGAACATAACCATTAGAACGAATAGTTAGCGTCTGAGCATAGTCATCATCTGAATATGAGCAATCATCTGAACATAGTCACGAACTGTACCTGTGATCATGATTCCCTCCCCACTCACGTGTGAAGACTAGGTCAGGGTAAGATGATGGTAACTTGAAAATCATAGGCTCGCTCGAAAGTAAAATCATCGCAACACAGACGTGCATGATGAAAGTACCTCCAATTGAACCTCATCCGAGCATGGTATATGACATGACTGCACTAATCGGACCACGTCCTATAGTCGTCATGCCCCAACTCTATTCCTAGTTTCCTAGTGCACTATTGTCTGGGTACTGAGCCTTTTACCTCAATAGTAACATCCCCACCCAAACAAGAAGCAGGTCCTGTACAGTAGTAGTATATGGAAGACAGTAAAATGCAATGTATACATATGCTCAAGTATATACAAAATGAGTGAATAAACTAAAAGCATAAAGATAAACACCCAAATAAAAGAAAGCAAGAGCTAAGAGCGACTCCGGGATGGACCAGCATTTGGTCGACCTTATCCCCAGTGAAGTCGCCAGCTGAAACAACCGGCTGAAAATCATCAAACAATGAAGTCGCCATCGAACGTCTTTTATCCCACATATAGGGAAAGGTAAACA